GAAATGCACGCCTTAAGCTTAGATGCTGTTCATAAACTGCAGACAAAGCAACTCGGAATGGAAAGATGCGTGTTAGGAATAGCAAGGAAAAACAGGAAAGAGACTGAATTGATCCGAGCGTCTGCGATATCACTGCTCGAGCGAAGACGTTAAAGTGGTAGTGGTTAGGACACGTTGCAAGAAGGACCGACCGTCGCTGAGCCAGGGACAAGATAGACTGTGCAAGAGAGAAAACGGCCCTTAGGAACACCTCCAGATCGATAGCAGGATGCGCTAAAGAAATCTGATGGGACAAATTGGATGAAAATGGCAGGTAACATATGTTTATGGTAAAGTCTTGCAGAGATTTTCATCTAGCAGTCGATTAACGAACAGTGGTTATGATAATGAGATGTTCATACGGTTTAGACTTGAAAATTGAGGAATCATTTCTATGTGAGAGATTAATTCCATGGTCTTCCTTCTTGTCTAGCAATATCAATCACGTAAAAATGGGAACACTATAGCCTTTACATGGTTTGTGCCTAATGAGTGAGCCAGTAACGGTGTAGAAGTCAGATAAAACCCACCTAATTAATTAATGACTCACTGTTAGATGCTCAGGGAAGATACAAAACTCCCTTCGAATTTCTTTGCACGACTCCATCATTACCGGACCCAGGCGCAGATCAGAAACGACTAGGATTGGGTAACTGGTGATGTCTCCGTAAAACGTAGACACTCCACATTTACGGTATTGCCGCTATAGAAAGTTATACCGGCTCGATCGTCACCCGGGTTACTAAATGGCTGCACAGGCTGTTAGAGGAACTGAGGTAGGTTGTTAAGTTATTGCTGTTCAGTGGAAACAACGGACTATCTCTTATGAACGCCTTCTTTCAGCATCGGAGCGAGCGTCGGTATTATCATGATATGGCAAAGACTGTGCAAAAAAAGTTATTGGTCAATTTGATAATCATATCTCCTAACATATGATGCTTTGTGACGGATGTTCGCCTCTGTAGAGGCGCAGAGATCAACCGATCATCACTTTATTGTTCACAACCTCCGCTCTAAACGATGGAATACCACGCGAAAACCTGGCGACAGAAGCAACCAGAAAGTCAAACGGGAAACATTAACTCCTGTGGATTCGAGGGCGAAACTTGCACACAGCATCGCACGACGGTTTGAACAGGTCTCGATGATGACCATTGATGTGGAAACCGAGTGACGGTTCTTTGAGAGCAGCTTACTCGGGACTGCCGCCCAACGCTACGGATTTAAACGGATTAGTCTGTCGCCTTTAGGTCAGCAAAGGACTTCCTCATCAACACGAGATGTGCAACTTGCTATGACGGATAAGAAGGCTGCATTCATTTTCTTTGAAGCAAAAAGCCTTCAACTGGAATGTAATACGAAGGGGCGCACAAGGCAATAACACCCTTCGCTATGAAATTTTTAGCCTCAAGAATGGAAGTTGCTTGATAACTTCATTCCAGCGCAAACTTAGTTCCATGCCAACTTGTGTGTGCTTCTACGCACTCATTTGTTTTCCCACTTTTTGCTATTCTCAGCATGCATCTTTCCATGCTGCCTGGTGCAGTCTACAGTTCATGATTAGCTATCAGATATAGAGTCAGCATTTCACATCCATAGGTTAACACTGGGAGCACTCACAAACCGAAAACTTTGTTTCATGCACAACGGCATTTTCTCAGATAAGAACAGTTTCGATGCTGTAGAAGAACTCTATGTCATTTTTGTTGTTCTGTTAATTTCATATGGTTGATACTCGGTTGCACAAATGAACTGTTCAAGGTAGATGTAGTTTTGCATTTCTTCAAGCCTAAGTCCACTGATTTCAACAGATCATCCGCTCCTGTATTTGTCAAACATAAACCTGAGTCTTCTAAAGGCTAATTTTCAGTCCTACGTTGACGCTGACGTTGTTTAGCCTTTAAATTCTTCCTGTGAGTTTTTATGGTGATCCCAAGTGACCTGTTTCGAGCTACCTTAATTACCTGTGATCTAATTTTAGTTTAAATGAACTCTTATTAAGTAAACTTCGCTTCGAAAAGACAAGAATACATTCTTGTGATTATAAGTTAAAAAATCACGGTTAGAAGCCGGCAAAATTATAAATAATATGTTAAACTTTTGTATCACCTTCTCAGCACAAATAATTGAAGTGTTCGGAAGATAACATAGTCACAGAAATCAGCAGGTATGTGATGTATATTGTAACGATTCGGCCTTTATGAGAGCATTTGGTGTAGCCTGTGGAAACGATGATTCAGTCGGAACCTCATCCTTATTTAATTCAATTACCATCAGCCAGTTTCCTTTTTTGCTTAATTTCCTCTTTCATTGCTTATGTCTTTCATTTTCTTTACCTTTTTTCCTAACTTACTTCACATTTGTTCGTTACGATGCTTTTACCACATGCGTTCTGATGCTTGCTAACATGATATCTTCGATGTATTTAATTTTCGCTAAAAATAAGGCCCCGATGTTTATTCCCAAAGTACCTATTAAATATACTTCTTCCAGGCTTCTAACATTCTATTTCCTAATCTACGAAATATATTGCTACGGTAATTTATGCAACTGACATGTCGTACACGGAGAGCAAAAATTTAACATATTTACCAGTGGTAGTTATGACCGTAAGCGAATAAAGCACTGCCGCGGCGAATGTCCATCTGATGCTCATCTGGGCACGATCGTCGTCCCATGGTTGGTGTTCGTCATCGAATCGTTCGTCATATTCGTTCATTTCAGAAAGTAAATTTAATAGTTTTTTCATCCGTGTGCTGACAATGCCAACGTCGTATGGAGAGTTTTTCTGACAAAGCTGTACAGACACGTTGACTATTAATTCGTGGATCTGGGTGACTTTGAAAACCTTGTCATTGCGTTTCTCCACTTCCTTCTGCTGCTCCATCCACATCAACATGACGGCACCAGAAGCAAGGTAGCCGAGCAGCAATACAGTAAGTCCTACGTGCGGCAAAAGTATTTTTAAAGCCTGCAAATAAAGTAGCGCTTTATTGGAGAAATCTTTCCGTCTCAAAGCTTTCTGAAAAAAAATCATTTATTCAAAGGACAAGCCTCCTATTAGTGATAATTTTAGGAACAAATGGGAGCGCAATATCAGTTCAAACTTAGTTGGCTGAAACCAAAAAAGAAGCAGTTTTTCGATAATATCAAAAGTACACATGAAGTGTGTAATGCATTCCTAAGGAATTTTATACAGCCTCGCGCCGTAAATCACTATTCAATATAAAATCCACTATGTCTGGAACATCCACTGTTAAAATTTAATTTCTCAAAAGTCGCGACAGATTAATTTTACTGTGCGTAAGAGAGCAAGCCATGCGTTTAAGAGTTTAAAGTGGGAAGTTACGTTTCATGGAAAGCGATAACCGAATAAAGTGTGTAAATTATGTATAATACTTGTATAAAATAATAACAGCTCGCTTCAGTAGACAAATGTTCCCCAATTCTAGGTAAATTCCTTATTCAAAGACATGAGTCCATTTTAAGTTCATTTTTCATCTATGAACTGTTTGTTGTAACGTTAACTGTCTGACTGCAAATAGTACAATTTAATATAATGACTTATGTACAGTGTACGCATGATTTTAGCATTTTGCTGACAAACAGAAAAGGTCAATTCTGTTTGTTTGTCTTTCACAATACTTCCTCGTGCTAGAACTGCTGCCGTATCTACTATTGCTGCCTGTCATTGATAGGGTTGTTGAATGAACAAGAAACACATGAGAAACAAATGAAAATGTTTGGTTGGCTCCATATCGACAATATTTTATTGTTAATCTGTATTGTGCTTGAAGACAATTTTTCTGCTGTATGATCAGTTTTTTTCAAATCGGCATAAGAATAACATTTCGTGAAGTCATATTAAAATAATCATTCACATCACATACTCTAATGCCAGAATGCAGAATCAAACCATTCATTCGCCTATGCCAGTCCACTACTTCTCATTGTATCTATACCGATAAGTAGACAATGAATAATATAATGACGGAAGTACGTGCAACAGTTCAGCAGCATTCTTAAATGCAGTTACATGCAGTGCATACGATAGTACTGGCGAACAGTTCTGCACAAATAGTGGTCATTCAACGTTGCACTTTGGAGGTGTGGGTTTGAATTGTAGCGCCCAGTTCATTATTCTTTCTAATTGCTAATTTACTTAATCAAGTAATTCACCCCAACATCCTGTTGTGCTACCAACTGTACAATGGTCAGGAAGTCGTTGACCTGCGAACAATAAAGACAGCTTCTTCGGGTGCAATAATGCCAAAATGGATGAGAAATACAATCATGTTATCCAATGTGTGCATTTTATGGCTGCGATTCGCGCTGACCCACTTGGTATTTACCAGAAAACCAGCACAAAGTGGTGTAGCCCTTACAAAAGAATCAACTGTTATCTCCTATCAAGGTATGACTGAAATATTCTCCTAAGCATTCCCATTCCCTAACTGAGCTGAAGAATCTCTCGACTAGTTGCGTCTCAGTCAGTCATAAATTGATTTGTTTTAGTACATGAACGACATGACTTTCTGAGGATGTACTGCAACTCGAGGTACTTAACTGAAGACGTACGGCCAGCATCTAAATAATGTTAAATACGACGTTAAACATGAAGTTAGGAGGTAATAGTCAATAAAATCAGTACTCTTTACGTTCTTCACCAACAACCTCAAGGAGGTTACTCCACGTATAAATTATATCAAACAAATTTATTGATTTAGAGAATTTGTTTAATTAATGTTATGCAAAGTACGACTTTAGAAAATTGTTGCAATGAACACCTTTTTACTCGTATAAAGAATTCAAGTATTCTCTTTAATTCTTTGGACGTTAAGACAAACGCAGAGGAAAATTCTACGTTGCTTATGGTGGAAATGAGACAGTGCAAAAGTAAAAAATTCTTCTCCGAAACAATTAAGGAGCTGGAAAAATTAAAATAC